CACACAAACACTTGCGCTGACATTCATAATATGAGTTCGCGCGATAAGCGCCATACGTACCTAAGCTTTTGTACAACAAGTGTCGATACACATGCACCGCCCGACAGACACACGTTGTATAGTGGCGTTGCAAATGTGGGCTAGAGCCGAGCATTGTATAATTATTATTTGCCACGCGGAAACGTATCACGATGCCTGAACTGCTTGAGTTTGGAAGAAAGAAAAAAAATAAACTTGGATTTCCTCGAGTGAACAAGTTTTGCCGTCGTTGTCGTTTGGTTGTGCATGTTTACCTGCGTACAGAGAAAAGAGAAAAAGCAAAATACGCAGAAGGGTTTTTTTTTATTTTTTTTATTTTTTTTTATCCACGAAGCAGTATAATCAACCAAGGAGGTTGTAATAATTTTCTAGTGATAATTTTGATGTCAATTAAATCGAGCTTTAATTTCATTGTCTTGAATGCAGGCCTATTGTCAGTTTTATCGTCCAAAGTGGGAACGGCGTACCTCTGCTTTATCCAGGCAATTAATATACATCCATTATATAAATACACATGATTATTGCTGTGTTTCGTAACCATTTGATTTTTAATTTTCATGCTGCCTCTGGCTCTTTTGATTTCGTTAGAGCTTCGCTGGGATGTGATACAAAATTCCGAGGGATAGCGTGAGGTGGAATCAGAGAGTACAACAGTGTATTTTTATTTTAAAAGAGTAAAAAATAAAAAAAAACGTGTCCGAAACGACACAAAATTTTAAGGGGCTGTCGTATCTTATTTCTTCGTCGCCGACATATCCGTGTGCGCAAAGCAGCAAACACTTGACTCGCTGTATCGCGAAACTCGAGATTTTACGTATACACAACTAGAGCAGAGATAGAAAACGAATCGATATATCATTGCTCTCTGTTGTACTTTGATAACTTTTATCGAGTCAAAGTGTTGAATAACTCGACTTTCGCTCAAATTTTTTTTTTTCCCCTCGCCCCGATTCGATGTCTCGGATTTGACGATTTGCCTTATAGCGAAGCAATAATTTGTTTGCCCGCGATCGCTCACTATAATAATATACGCTATGTGTACATCGGCAATTCCAGGAAAAACGTCGATTAGGAGACCCCAGAAATAGATTAAAATTTTTCTTGAAACGCATCTTCGGAACGATGATTCTTATCTATACAGTGCCCCCAGGTATGTGTAGGAAAATTTGTGAACGAAAATTAAGTATCGTGCGCACTCCGAATCCAAGCGCGATGTTTTAATTTATTCACCCGTTGACAAAGTGCATCGCAGCAATGTTTTTATGCATTCGAAAAATAATCGCGCTAATTTTTTATCAACTATTTTACCATCTCTATCGCGTCGTAACGATTTTGTAAAAAAAAACATATTTTACATAAGTATTATACAGTTTCTGGAAAATTGATGGTGCGACAGAAATTTTTCGCTTTCTACAACCTCTCCTAGTGTCAATTTTTAGGAAAGAAAAATTTGTCCGATTTGGTAGAGCTATATAGTTGAACAGCTGATAAAAGATCGATTTTTGTGTTCTTGAAACACTTATCACCCAGTAAAGTACACCGATAGCAAGAATTACTACTAGTTAATGAATGATTCATTAACCATAATTCAGGGCTTTGGATTTTTATGTAATGAATATTCGTTGACAGTCATAGTTGACGAACACACACTCGACGACGTAACTATATTTTTTTTCGTGACCTCAAATGCTAACTGTCGAATCCTTGATTCACTAACTGTCAAAGATGAAGTGTTTGTTAACAGCATAAATATAAAAGGAATCCTTTCTATCAATGCTGTACAGTGTTTTATACTTCATTGATTTTACATATTAAATGTTCTGAAAGAACTGAATCGTATGATGTTGGGGTGAATAGTGCACGTTAAACATCTTCAATTAATTAACTTGATGTGAATGTTGGTAATAACAAAAAATTAATCGGCAGAAAGAAAAAACGAGACAATTGAGAACCCAACATTCGTATATAATTCCAAAAAAAAGGCTTTAAGTATATCGTACGATGGAGATCGCAAAAACGCACACTGTCAAGTACAATGCTCGAGTAAAAAAAACAATTATATCCCAATAAAAGCTTCATGAAGATAATGGGTGATCTCGCGGCTACCCAGTGACGATAAGTCGTCGCGACTCGCCTCTTCCCCGCGAGAGTTCCGGCCCCCGCGGCTGTTGATGCCGATGACTTTGTACTTGCTTCAACTCTCGAGAGAAATTTTAATCACGGAACACATATTTTCCGAGATATGTTGACAAAAATGACAAAAACAAAAAAAAAAAAAAGATAAGCTGCACTAAACAGATGTGCATAGCAGTGTTGCCCGGTCGTATAGCGTTACGCAGTCCACGCCATGTAAAAACACGTATATTAATGTTATACGTGCATAGTGTTAAATGATTGTAAATAAACATTTTGCTAAATGATATTACCGGACAAGGTATTAACTAAAACTACCTACAATTACATTCTTGTGCATTGCAAAAATTGACCAATCTATACTTTTTTTTAACACTTTTAGTTTTCTGTAGTTTAACTTTAACACTGAAAAAAGTATACATGTCTGTGAGACAAAAAAAAATCACCAATTATATAGCATGAGCAATCTACTCGCTTGTATTTTTAGTAGTCCTAACTTTAAGTACAGAGTTAAAGCTATATACCCGTGGTTCCACATTATAATTTTCAGTGTACAGAGCAGCAGCAGTTTTTAAAAGTGATTTTACAAGTGTAGCACATGCTTTCTGTGTTTGAACAAGTTTTACTTGTACTTAACGTTTTTTGTCATATACTTTTCTTATCATTTGTTCCAAAGCTACACGTATCGTTTGCTAATAAATTTCTCGTCTTCCAAATGAAAGTTTACAACGATGAAAAAATGATTTATCTTGGAATTCCAATCACTACTTTGTTTTTTTTTTTTTTTTAACAAATTAAAAAATAAGTTACATGATATTTTAATTCGATGGATGACGGCAATTTCATCAGCTTAATTTCGGATCCAAAGGGAATCTTAAGCTGTCACACTGCGGATTTCTCGAATCCCTGCAAGTAAGCGCACCGCATTTATATAATCTCCGATTCGGCAAAACAATGTTATCGTGCAATTCTCAGCGATTCCCTTTTTCTCTTGCCGATTGATTCTTAAAAACATCGTCGCAATGAAATAAAAAAAAAAAAAGGGGGGGGGGGCAGATATACACATTTTCCCATGGCGCTCGTAAAGGCGACAGCCCCCATACACGAGCCAATTCGCAAGGAATCGTATCACACTCCCCGTGTATCCCTTATATACACGTAGCGAGAGAGCACGACAGCTGCACACGCCTCGGCGCTCGGGGATTTCCGAAGAATCGAGGAAGATGAAAATAATCGCGCCCCACCCATACGGGGGACAAAGGAAAAAGCACGTATATACAGTACGTATATATATATATATATCGGTACGCGTGCGCGTTATTGATTTCATCACCGATCGGTTATCGGCGGCGGCTGTTAATCGATTACGCCGCCCAACCCGATTGACGTATTTACTCTTTATGAATACGTTTTTTTGGAAATCCAATTAAAAATCACTCACGGGTGCATTAACATGCCCACGATTTTCATTCTATACGCCAAAGAGACTTTTTGCCTATGCGTATAAATGTATAATAGAGCGGGGCAATTTTTATCTATACAAGTATAGGTATGCTTAATCGAGAATCGGAAAAAAAAAGTAGTTTTGTAACCAAGTTGTCGTTTAGTACGGAATACATTAAATCAAAATAAATTATGTAGCGAGCCGAAACAACGAAGGTAAAGGCATAATTTTTCGTTGGTCGCAAATCGATGGAAAATACGGTAAATCGGAAGCGCAGTCCGAGCGATCCTCCCTCGTAACACAGAACAAGTGGCTTCAGAGAGCGCACCAGCTTAAGCGAGCAAAAAAAAAAAAAAAAAAAAAAGGCTCGCCAAATAATTTCGGAACAAGGCGGGACAGTACCACCACTGCTCTTGAAGATGAAACACGAAGCAAGTGCTTCCCGGCGATTTAACGAGACGGAGAGAAAAAGGGGCCGGGGGGAGGGGGGTTAGGTGACGCGATGTAGAATTCCGAATCCGCCGGGTGAATTTGCATACATCGCACGCATCAAACGTGTATATATAGTACAGATCGTGCGCTTGCAGTGTGCCCTCGCCAAGCCCCCCCCCCCCTCGATCGGGAGAAGAATAAAGAAGCCCACGAGGAAGCTGTGTGCCAACCACCACCACGACGCGTTGCTGCAAAGAGAGAGAGAGAGAGATAGTAAAACACAAGGAAGTGAGCCTCCACCGTCTCTTCTTCTCCCCGTGCGATCTACTGTATGCGTGTATAAATTTTGTGCGCTTGCCTGTATATGTGCGGGCAGCATCATCATCCCCCGTTGCCGCGCCCGCTACGGAATACACCACTGTACTTGACTGTACCCCGCCCTCACGCGCAGGCAAGAGAGAGAACGAGCGACTCCTCGGCTACTATTTCCGTCGGCGGGGATCCGCGGCAGCCACCGCACGCCCCCTCCCGATTCGCCGGCCCCGACTCTCTCTCTCTCGCTCCGTTGTGTGTATGTGTGTATAGGTACCGATCACCCCGTGCCGCCGTGCCCCGCCGCCGTCGAGCCAAGGAAAGAGAGAGAGAGAGAGAGAGAGCTCCGCTGTACACAGTTCCTAAAGCCGGAGCGCTGCTATGCCTCAGTCGCTCGGCAGTGCTCGGTGAAACGGGTCGTTCCTTCCTGGGTGAGCGCCACACTGCCGATTTAAAGAGACCTGTCGAGGAGCTCCGGCTTTTACTTTTATCTCTCTTTCTCTCCTTTTTTTTTTTTTTTTTTTGTACTCAGCCCCGCGCGTGGTTTTTCGCACAAAATAAGTGATAAAAGGTGCCTTGCCTTTTTTCCCCCTCGTCATTTTGCGCCGTAGATTGCCGCACACCGCTTGTGTATTTTTTTTTTTTTTTTTTTTTTTTTTTTTGGTTTTTGTTTCTCCGTCAACATTTGCCGTTTCGGAGCAACCCAAGAACAATCCGCCCCCGCGTCGTTTTACACCGAGACTTAACTACTCACCGATCGATAGCTTTGCGTGCGTAAGTGTGCGTCGGACGGCTGTATATACGTGCACCTCGTTCGGAATTCGTGTGCAGTATTTAGTATAACGCGTCTATTAATAATTCGCTGCGGCCGCTCATGCATCGCCGTTCGAGTTATTTCGGAGCGCGCTTATTGAGCGTACATCTTAATGATAATAATAATAATAGTGGTGGTTAACGCATAATTGTACACTCGTTGTGCTCTGATGATGAGGATGTTTGGTGGTGGTGACGGTGCTGCTCGAGTGTTGTAGTTGTTTTCTGCAAACTCTTTTTTTTTTTTTTTTTTTTTCCTCTCCTGTCGTACTTATTACGTTTTACGCACAGTGTGCATCCAGCTATAAAATTCAACAGCCAAAAGAGTGAATCACGCAAAGAGGGACTACAACTGCGTAGGAGGAAAACCACCGAGAGTCTCCTCTCGTATATATGTATATACATATACATATTGCCGCATCCCACTGTGTGTGTGTGTGTGCCCATCAAAAGTATATATAACGTGTATCGTTTGGATGTAGGGCGCAGACAATAATTCCGCTCACGTGCTTCGCGATTCGCGCGCTCCACCTTCACACCCACTCAGTGTGTCTGTGTGTCTGTGTGTGTCTCTCTCTCTCTCTCACCAGCTGACGCTCAAGTAGTTCCGTGTGTACTTACGATCGTGATCGCTGTACAAGGGGTGGATTTATTATCATCGATATACGTGCAACAATAACGCGAGTGAGGCAAAGCCTACGTGTTTACGTAACATAGTTCGTTCGAGACCCATGAACACTTCTGAGGACGCAAGTGCCTCCGCACCCCGACACGACGGCGACTACACCAGGAGCCATCACCGTCGGCGTCGTTGTCGCAGCTAAGTCGTCGTCGTCGACGTCAACGTTGAAAAGGAAGTGCTTTAAAAGGTACGCATTGTACAATTTTTTTGTTTTTTTGTTTGTTTGTTTGTTTTAACATGCATCTTCTATTGTACACGCGCATATTATATTATACATACCCTCGATAAGCGTCAACGTAAATTATTATTGTTGCCTTCTTTTTTTCTTTTTTTTTTTTTTTTTTTTTTCCTCCTACGTTGGTTATCGGGAGTTCCGGCTCAAAGAGTAAGAGCTTTTTTTTTTTTTTTTGTTCTTATTATTATTATTTGATAATTTTGTTTTTCGACGATAAAACGCTGCCGCTGCAGGGTATGCTGTACTTGCACGACTCATCTATATATACATACCTGACTGTGTGTGCATTCGTGCGATATTGAGCCGGAGCTGTTGCTGCTGATGCGACAGTGCTGTATCTCACTTTCCACAGCGGACGAAAACAAAGATAGACGCGCGAGATACATACATATATGCATACACGCGTACAATATTGTTATTATCTCGAAACGCTTTTTCAATTGATCGGCGTATTTTCGATGCCGAGTTTTTGTTTTTTTCCGCTTCCTCCTGTACTCGAACGAGGAAATTAAGGATCACTCGTTCTGACAATCAAATGGCTTTGTCGTCGTCGATGTGGGAAGAAAAAAAAAAAAGGTGCACGATATAATACTGCAGTGTAGAAAAGCACTGCAGTGAGTACAAGCGAAGGAGGAAAAGAATGTGGGCGGAGGAGGAGAGAACAAGAGGCGATGGCCTCTTTGTTATCAAGTCGCTTGCGCAGCAGCAACAGTATACGTATATATATAGTGGGATGTATGTACCTACATAGCTACTGTGCCCCGGCGTGCAGCTTTTTCTCCCTATACAATAAGCACACCTACCGCTTCTCTCTCGCGCGACTTGTACAGATGTAAACAAACCTCCCCCGAGCTGCTAATTTTTACTACTGTACTCGCTGCAGTTGTGTTTCGTGCCAAAGATGGTTTTTACAACGCGTTCAAGCAAATTACTTTTTAATTGTACTCGCCAAAATCCGCGTTTTTAAAGTCGGACGATGATGTAACCCGCGCTTATCGCGTTTAACACTGTAGGGATCGATCGGAGACTCCCGATAATCGCACGTCGAAAGCCGGGGATCGGCGAGTTTGATCAATCGCCGGTGAAATCTGTCGTAAAAATCAGCGCCCTCGCGAAAATGTATATATACGCGCGTTTGTTATCTCCGGCTATCGGCAACAAGAGCAGATTGATTCGCTCGATTGTGCTTCGCGTCGCTTTGCCCAATGTAAATATACCCAACGAAGCTGGCTTGCGCAAAAATAAAAAAATGAAAAAAAATAAGGGTCGGATGTAAATAAAAATTTTCTTTTTTCCGTCCTTCCCTCGCGGAGCAGCGAAAAGTAAGTTGCGTGTGCAGTGTGCTTGTTCAAGTTTCGCCCCTCCCCCATCCCCACGGCTGCCACACTGGTATACACACATGGATGTAGGCGATTAAAGAGCCACTCGCGTCCGCTCGATTGCACCTCCTCTCTTTTCTCTCTCCCCTGTGGCCGATCCGCACGACGTATATTGTATACGAGCAGCGAATTATGCGGTGCGCCGACTTGTACAGAACTCCCCCCCCAACCTCCTCTCCCCCGCCGACATCTGTTCTCGCGAGCGCGCGATTCTCGAACCGAGCGGGGCCCGAATTGGCTTTACGGGTTAAGTCACTCGTTGCGTAATTCGAGTCTTGCTCTACTCCGCCTGCTGCAGTATGTGTGTGTGTGTGTGTACGTGCGTACAAACGCGGTTTCGCACTTTCTATACGGGCAATTTCTGATGTCTGCAGAGTATGGAGCATAGTGTACATTGAGTGCAGTTTTGCACGTACAGGAGATACTTTTTTTTTTTTTTTTTTTTTTTTTGTTTTTTTGTTTTTTATACATACCAAAGATAATATATATATTTAATGATCGTACATCGAGCTGCAAAATAACTCGAGTGGCCTAAAATCATCCAACACCCACTTTCGCGATCGCGTCACCGCTGATGAAATAAATTAGAACAGTGATGATAATAATAATAATAATAATAACCACCCGCGTACCAGGAAGTTGTACAAACAGCAGCAGCTTGTGATCCCTCGCCCTGCTCCCCAGTAATATCTTAACAACTCGCACAAAGCCTTTTTAATGGTAAAATGGATCGTAAAGTTTAAAGCGCGCGAGTTTCGCTTAAAGTGGCCGTGTGTGCGTGTGTCCGAGTTGAAGGAATATAATAAGTGACGATACGAGCTGGGGCCCCCTTTCCGTGGTCGTCGCCGTGCCTATTACGCCACACGCGCTCACGAGTTATACACACTGCAGCTGAAAAATTTTTCACTCCCCCCCCCCTCCCCCTCCCAGTAGTGGTACTAAGTGTATCGAATTAAAGCTGTTAGTGCCAGATATTATCGCCGTGCCCTCCTGTCTCTTTCACTCTCGTCCCTGTGTAACGTTAATATTGGCGACGCGTGAGCCATGACGATGCACACGATGCCCCCCCCCCCTCCTCTTACGCAACGATATTTTCGCGACTCTCTGGAAAAACTAAACCATCGTTCGATCACTTGTGAAAAAAATGTGAGGTAGCAAAGTAACCCAGTGCACCTCCAGGAGCTCACAAGTATAAGGGAATCAGGGGAGTAATTACACACGCGCGCGAGATTTCAGCTCCATTAGCGAACCGCTGTGGGAGAAGTACACATGCATAATATTATATATGTATATGGCCGGGGAAGACGTCACGAGAGCTGTACCTGCGCGTATATATATATATACGCTGTCTCGGACTCGGCTCCGCTTCTTTTTTTGCTCTTTGCATGCATAAATAATGATCCAGTCACGAGGACACGCTCCCGCATATACATATATACATGCATACAACTCGCGATGCGATGGGACATACCCGATCGCGTTGGCGTGTGCGAGTATAGTTGTCCCCGGAACTCTTTTGACACTCTTCCGCGTGCGCGCACGTGTGGGTGTGGAGCTTTTATTTTCTTTTTTTCTTCTTCTTCTTCTCAGTTCTTTTTGGACGGGTCATTTTTCTCTTTGGCCGTTCTCTCTCTGTGTGTGTGTGTGTGTGCTTCGCCGACGATGACCCAAGGACGCGGGGATTCTCTTTTTCCTTTGCCTATATACTCGAGAGACGGATGTGACAAGACGTTTTTTTTTTTTTACATTCTACCTGCGTGAAATATCATCCGACTTGCCAATGACTCTTACTCTAGGGTGTGATTTTGGCAAAACTCAATTTTTCCTTTGTACATTTTGAGAGTAAAGAAAAAAAAAAAATCCACCAGCCGGAACACGAGTGGTGAATTACACGCTTAAGCGCGAATGTTAATTACGTGCACGCGCGGTATCGCAAGGAGACATTGTCGGGCATAATGTATAACAACGTTTACACGTATACGCGCGCGTGTGTTAGATGAATAGCTGATAAGACAGGAATCGGATCGTATTTCATTCGCCGCGTTTTCCTGTTAAAGACGACGACGACGACGACGACGATAATTATCGCGTCTTTGAGGTGCGCGTGCGTAATTTTCCTATGCCCCCGTTTAGGAATTTGGCGATCAATCACGCGCACCTTCGGCTACATGTATACATAATTTTACGAGGGGAGCCGAATCAAAACCGCGTTGTGTAACGTACATACACACACAAATGTAACAACCCCGATAAGACGCGCGTCGTTTCAACGTGTACCTATGCTATATATTCACAAGGAAATACGGCAAATCGCGAGATGCGCAATTGTGCAAACAGCTCACTTTTTTTCTTTTTTTTTTCTTTTTTTTGCGCGACATTCATGTACACGTGTGTGTAAAACTGATTCTCCGTGTAGCGAGGCTGGAAGTGAGGCAGCACCGAACACGCTGTTGTATATTCATTATCATCATCATCATCGTCGCGTGTACGTGCGACCCAATTTTTCAACAAATTTGGCAAACACCTGATTTTCGTCGCAAGTTTTCGGCCGCGAGCACGTATATTTGTCAAAAGAGAGTACACAAATATTTTACACGCGCGTCTGTGCCGATTCACTTTTTCCCCTGTTTCTTTGTATACACGTACTTGTACCAAAAATTGTCTAATGGTAAATTGTTTTTTCTACTCTGAAGGGTTTAACGAGTGGCGGTATATCTTTTTTCTCTTGTTCTTCCTCCAAAATTCATGTGTAACGTGAAAGTGGTGTATACCCAAGCATAAACCTGCTCTCGAGAGGGCATATAGATAAAAAGCAAATTCTTATTCCCAGAGAGACCCAAGCGTTTTCGGGTGTACACTTTCTAGGGATCAAACAAACTCTCTCTTTCCGTTGGCTGACAACGGCTTTTTCTACGTCAACTGATCGATGAATTTTCCTCGCTCGCCGCACCTCCCCCCCCCCCCCCGACGTCTCCTCGCGTAATCTTTCGCTCTCCTCCTTCGTTGCGTGTACACATCGCGAACAAACGCGGGCCAGAATATGCGGCTCTCCCTTTTACCTCGCTCCGGAAGCCAAAGACCCTTTGTACTCGGTGTACTCTCCAAGAGCCACGTATATATGCACACACTCGCACGGCTTTTAAACGGTGCATACCACCCCGTCGTTTTACTAATGGACGGGGGCCTCCTCCTTTTCTCTCTCGGTCGCTTCTTTCCCTTCATTAATTCCGCGCATGGTGCGTATATACATACGCGCGCGTTTATGGCCGCGCTTTTTCGCGCAACCGAGTGTCAAAAGCGACGGGAAAAAACCACCCCGCTTTCTTCAGGCGAATCAGAGAGTGTCTCGGGAGTGCGCGAGTAAAGAGAGATTCTCCTAGCTCTCGTTGCATAATTGCACAAACAGTCAAGCTCCCGCGCGCCGTATACATTATGTATAGACGGAGCCTCTCATTGTTCTCTCCCATATAGCAAATCAGCGCCGATGTATCAATCGATTAATTAGTCTGCTCGCGAGGGAAGGACGACTCTCGTCGTCGTACCGTACAACCCTGCCATACTGTGCATCAGCTC